CACCGCCCCGCTCCGCAGCTACCCCGCCGGCTTCGTCTACATCTTCCTGGGCCTCTACTACGCCACGGGCCGCGGCAGCGACGTGCGCCTCGCGCAGCACCTCTTCGCCGGCCTCTACCTCCTGCACCTCCTGCTCGTCTTCCGCGTCTACTGCCGGACCAGGAAGGTACGCGGGGCTGTCGGAGCCGCCGCGGCGGGCTCCGGCACCGGCCGCCGCTTGTGCTCACGGCCCGTGTGTCCCTCCGTCCCTGCAAGGTGCCCCCGTACGTCTTCTTCTTCATGTGCTGCGCCTCCTACCGCATCCACTCCATCTTCGTCCTGCGGCTCTTCAACGACACCGTCGCCATGGCCATCCTCTTCCTCGCCGTCAACCTCTTCCTGGAGGAGCGCTGGTCCTGGGGCTGCCTCATCTTCAGGTGAGGATCCGTGCGGGATGGGGCATCACAAACACAGCGTCGCTGCCCGCCCGCGACGTTCTCGTGGCACCCTCGTTGCCGCGAGGTCCCTTGTCCCAGCAGCTGTGGCATTGGTGCCCTGCGGGGGGGGACGCTGTCCACGGAGGGGCTCGTGCAGGGGCTCAGGGCCGTGCAGGAGGCTGCGCTCAGCGCCGGGGTGCCGGGACGCCCCGCTGGGCAGCCGCAGCCTCCGCTCTCCTTCCCGCCCAGCCTGGCCGTGTCGGTGAAGATGAACATCCTGCTCTTCGCRCCCGGGCTTCTCTTCCTCCTCCTCAAACGTTTCGGCCTCCTGGGCTGCATCCCCAAGCTCTGCATCTGCGCCCTGCTCCAGGTGGGTCCCTGCCCGCTCCCCGTACGTGGGCTCTGGGGTGGGCAGCAGGTTTGTGGTGACATCGGCGCCTGGCCGGGCCCTGCACCACGATCCCAAACTGCAGGACACGCCGGTCCCCGCAGCCACCGCCTCTCCCAGGCCCCCCGACACGGCGCTGACTGTCTCGGGGCGCCCAGCCTGCTCTGAAGGTGCCACCGTGTGCCCGTCAGGTCCTTCTGGGGCTGCCCTTCCTGCTGGTGAACCCCGTGAGCTACCTCAGCCGCTCCTTCGACCTGGGCCGCCAGTTCCAGTTCAAGTGGACGGTGAACTGGCGCTTCCTGCCCGAAGACGTTTTCCAGCACCGCGCTTTCCACGCCGCGCTGCTCCTGGCCCACCTGGCCGGCCTGGGGCTCTTTGCCCTGCGCCGGTGGCACAGGTGAGGCCCAGGGTGCCCTGCTGCTGCTCCCCCCGTTGGGCCCTGGGACGCAGGACATGGCCCAGCGCCCCCCCTGTCCCCGGGGTGGCAGGCGGGGGCTGGGGGACGTTGCTGTCCCTTTGGGGTGGTCGTGTGTGACGGGAAGGCTGGGCTGGGAAAGCCTGCAGGCGTTTGAGGTCAATGTTTGTGCTTCTCTAGCAGGTCCAAAGGGAGCATCCTGGCCCTGCTAAAGGATCCTGCCCAGAGAAAGCCCCCGTCCCCTCCCTTGTCCGCCAACAATATCCTTTGGCGGGGCAGGGGGAAGGCAGGGAGGCCTCGGTGCCCACGGTGACACCGGGCCTGGTCCCGGGCTCCGCAGCCCCCGAGCGGGCAGAGCCGCCCGGACAACCTGACCAGGAGGGCGGCAGCTTCTGGGCAGGGCCGGGGGGGTTGTCGCAGGGTGCGACCTGCAGCCTCCTCCATTTGTCACCTTGACACCAGCGCACAGATCGTCTTCGTGCTCTTCTCCTCCAACTTCCTGGGCGTGTGCTGCAGCCGCTCGCTGCACTACCAGTTCTACGTGTGGTACTTCCACACGCTGCCCTACCTGCTGTGGTGCACGCCGACCGCCAAGCTCGCCCACATGCCCAAGTAGGTGCCAGTTGGGGCTGGGGGGCCCGGGGGCCCTGCTGCGTCCCGCCGGGCTCAGCGACGGCTTCTCACACTGCAGGGTGCTGCTGCTGGGCGTCATCGAGCTCTGCTGGAACACGTACCCCTCCACGGTGTGCAGCTCCCTCTCGCTGCACGCCTGCCACGGCCTCGTGCTGCTCCAGCTCTGGCTGGGCACGGCCGCCCCGCTGGACGCGCCGCCTGCCCGGAGGCCCGCGCCGCTCCCCAAGAAGGTGCAGTGAGCGCCCCGGCGGCTGGGCTGTGGCAAGCGGCCTCTCGGACTGTCCCTCTGCCGTCACCGCTGCCCTGCCGGCTCCCGGGCTGCCCTCGGCCTTCCCGGGAAGGCCGCGAGCCCCAGAACTGCTCGAAGGGGGCAGGTTGGGGCYGCCCTGGTAGTGCCCCGAGGGGCAGGACTGCTCCAATAAAGGGGGCTGCGCGTGCCCTTTCTGGCCGCAGTGTCCTCGTGCTGTGGCCGTGCCAGGACGGGTGTCCCTTTGGGACGTCCCAGCCCTGGGGAGGCCGAGCAGCCGCCAGGAGCTGGCGTCGCCTTTGGAAAGCCCTGCCTGGAGCAGCGGAGCAGCCTCTGGCGAGCAGTTAGGACAGAGGCTCTGCAAAAATAACCACTTTCCTTGGGGTTTGAGCCACCTTGGTGCAACCAAGGGCTCCTCTCCACAGCCTCCAGCAGGACATTCCCTAGTCCCTTTTATGTTCCTGCKCAGGAGAGGGGTCTGCAAAGGGGGTGCCCCCCACCACGGAGCAGGGCAGCACGAGACAGGCAGAGGCAGCGCGGAGCCGCGCGGCTTTATTGGCGCCGGCCGCGGCCGTCACACGTTGCTGGGGTTGTAGCACAGCATGTTCAGCTTGATGTTCTCGTCCCAGTGCCGCAGCAGCAGGAAGAGGTGGCGGGCCGCCCCTTTGAGGGCGCCCACGCGCACGCCGTGGGGCAGCCGCTGCGCCCGCAGCCACGCGTCCGCCTTGGCCGCCACCAGCTCCCACTCGTCGAAGAAGGCGGCGCAGCGGTGCTCCAGCCACGCCAGCGCCACCGCCGTGGCCCAACTGGCGCTTTCCAGCTCCTCCGGCGCCGCGTCCTGCCCGCTGCCGCCCGCCTCGGAGGCGGCGCCCGAGCAGGGCCCTGTGTCGGACTCGGAGCCGTGCCCGCTGTCCGCCTGCGCCCACGCGCCCGCGCTCGCCACCTCG